TTTTTAAGAATGAAATGGCACCAAAGAAAATATTTAAAAATAATTTCAAGATCTCCTAATTTTTGTAAAGGTGTCATTACAATCCTATGTTCACCCCCTACAGGATCGTTGAATAACCAATATATCAAAAAATAAAAATTACTGTTCAAACTAAATTGGCTTTACTATTTCCAAAGCTGAGCTGTATTAGTAATTGTTGGTCATGTGCTGTAACATGAAATGGTGATGATGGAAGACTGTAATACCAAAACCACCGACAGAGGGAAAACTGCATGAAAAACAAGATACAAATTTTATATTTTTGTGGGATGATAATTTCTTAGTTGATATAACCCCATGCTTTGAGATGGGCAGAACAATAATTTACAAAAAATCAACATGTTGCTTACAGACAAAATCCAGATATGTATAGAAATGGAGTTGAAACTTTTTCTTGCATATTATATAAAATAAATGTTGCATAACAACAAAATCTAAAATATTTCTAAGTAAGTAATTGTAAAAACTGAGATAGAATTATTATATTTACGTGAATTTTAAGATTTCATATCTAGATGTGCACTTCACACCTGAAAGTTGCTAAGAGTTTGTGATATTTCCATGTTATATTTGAAACCAGACATCCCAGTTCCCTAGAAAAGCATCGAGTCTAGTGTTGTTTACAAGGTCTTTAGTTACAATATCAAAGCAGAAGGCAGTAAACATGTTTTTCTCTTAAATAGCAACAGTAAATTATATTTAACTGTATTTTCTATGTGGGGAGTAGCTAATCCAACAATTTGGTAGCTCAGGCTTTTTACCAGCCTTGAGCCACAGTGGCCAATTTCACCATTTTGTTAGAGCTAACTAGGATGGTAAATTTGTGATACAATATTCCATATAGTGGCTGCGACTTCACAAGAGATCAAGAGAGAGACTGACGTATGACCAAAGCTGGATTTAGCGATTAGTTTCCATTTGTTTAGAGAAGTTAGAGATTAGATTTTTTTTTAGAAAGGCAAGAGGCTCTTTAGGTTCCCATAACTTATAACTTACACACAAAAATTAGACCTCTATAATCAGTAACTAAATTGAGTTTATATTTTAATAATATATTTATGCAATTGTTCAATTTCAACAATCTACACAATATTATGAAATTTTATAATAATTAATACACTTTTATGACAGTAATGTTTTTCTATTGGGAAAATAAACAATTACAAGTTCTTCTGATAGAAAACTATAAAAGGTGTGTATTAAAAGACAAATACTTGTTTCTAATTTAAAGATTTTATAATATAACTATTTAAACATAGACTGATTTAAGGTGTATGTGCCAGGATAGGAACAGAAATCATGCAAATTGGTAAACTGTTCAATTTTAACTAAATATCAATCTGAATAACTTAATACTACTATGAATGCTAACCACTGAATAAAACTTGAATAGGGAGAATGAATGCTTATACATTAAACTTTTTATTAATTATATGAAAATGGAAATGTTTGTAATCAGATTTTTCTTTCATTTCAGAATATCAGTTATCAAGGCTTCTCTAGATCAATAATTATTAAATATATGAGTAAATGAGTGTCTTGGAAAACTAAATGTAATTAAAAGATTAGAAATGAAATATTTAAAAGAACTGCAATTTCAGACTCCGTTTACTTTTTCTTACCTTTTGTATTACTTGCACTGACTGATCCTGAATCTCACTTAGAGGATCACTTTTATGTCCTCTAAGGGCTATTCGATGTTATCATGCTTCTACTGAATCTTTCAGAGAGACTCAGAAAAGATTGTTTACACTTTTCATAGAATAACCTTTCTCAGGTTTTGCTCTAATTTACCTTAACAAATTGGTTTGTGCAATTGATCTGGTTTTTTTTTACTACATTATTCTCAAACACCAAAAAAGTTCTGGTTGAGTCTCACCAAATGCTATTTTGTCAGATATAAAAGACTGTTTAGTGTATGTAATATTATTAATTAATTAATTTTGTGTTTGTAATGCATTAATTTCGAGGCTATCGAACGTTGTGTGTAATCCATTGATGTTGAAGCTATAGAGATTTCTAGGAGGCCTAAGTGATAGATGTATAAATAGCTGTGACCAGACAAGTGGCAAGAGAGAGAATAAAAAGTAAAGTCACAGGAAAGAGAAGTTTGGTGAGAGAAAAGTTAACTGTCATAGGAGTGAAAGGCCTAATAGTTGATATGTTAGACTGAGATTAATAGTTTGAAAGAGATAAGGAGAATAATTTATCTTGTCAAAGGGTGTTCTAAGCTAGTTGAACCAACCTGTGTGGACTTTGACAAAAAGCAGATGATTATTTGGAAGCACAAAAAGCAGATGATTATTGTAAGTACAGGACATAACTGTGGTAACTCATACAATAGTGTAAGTGAATTATATATGGATACTATTCCAATAAAAATAAAGAAAAATAGTTCGAATTGTCAACTGAATTCTAAAGCAATTGAATTGGCCTAAATGAACTTTTAACAATAAGAAGAGAACTGTATAGTTTTTAAGATACGACTATCATCTACATAGTGTAAAGAATTTTATATATACATATAACTTGTTTTGAATATAAATATTATTTTAAAATCTAGTGGAGTACATACTGTTGTTTATTGTTGAATTTATTGCTTACAGATCACAGACACCTACTGTAGAAAGAACCCTTAGCTCAACACACCCATATACTTACTTTAATATATACTACTAAAAACTAAGTTTCTGACACATTTCGATTCTGATTGCAGTTACCCTTCAGAGAATATTCTGCAATTCAGCATGTGAAAACAATTTTAATACATTTGTAAAATCTTACTTACATTATATAGCCTCCAGATGTGGTTTTTTAAGCCAAATAGAATCCCTAGCAGGTAAGTTATGCTTAGCTACCACTTGGGTCCACACCCATGTATCACTATACAGCCAAACACCATTTTTATCAGTTACAAAAGCATCTTGGGTTGTGGAATTATTTGATTAAAGATAAATATAATGGTCTGTTTTATATGATGACACTAAACTTTGAGTAGAATTACCTGGTCAAAACTCTTGCATGTTACATATACCACTGTAATTGTCCTAGACAAAATTTCCACCCTCTGTGCTGTACTCCACAAGAGGATTTTGCCCTTTGGAAGTGGACTAAAGTTGTCATCTGGTGACTGATGATGCTGTAGTTGGTATCTCTGCATGCACATCCTTGCCTAGCATTTATTTTTATCTTTCTTAACCAATGTGATGTTCCCATTGCACAAGTTGTAGAGCCCATCCTTGGGTTAGGTTTTTGATTTTGCTTAATCTCTGCTTGATCGTGTTTTTCAATTGATGTGGTCTAGGTTGTTAACTTTTTGCCACAAAGATTAATTCTACCATCTGCTGATGCTTGTCATATTTCTACTTTTTGATTAATGGATAGTATAGCCCAGGGGTTCTCCAATGTTTTTGTCTGGAACCCCTTTTTTGTCAGGGTAAATATTGAATACCCTCTCCTCCTATTTGTCAGATAACTAAAAATAGAGAATAACTAGCCATGTAAAGAAATACAGTTGTACACATGAATTTATTTTTGAGTTATTCCATAACTATAAAACACTCAATCACAAAACATGTAAAATACTAAAATGAAGGGATTGGCATGGCATAATGGTTAGTGTGCCAAGATTGTGAATTTGATAATTTATCATCCACATCCCAAAATAAAAAAAGAGAGATAGAGAAAGAAGAAAAGATCCATACTGTGAGACCATGGGTGCACTAACAGCGATGTTTAAATCCTACTATTAGGTCAGACAAAGAGTAGCCAAGATTTGATGGTGAGTGTTGTTGACTGACTGCCTTCCTTCTAGTCTATCAGTTTAACATTAGGAACAGCCTGGCACAATTACCCCTTGTGTAACTTTATATGAACATTTGAAATGAACTAAAAAGGAAATACTTGAAAAGTTTTTTTTTTTTGGTGTACAAAACTTGAAGATAGCTTTTATATGCAGAAACATCTGTTAGCTGAGTTCTTCCACTGATCTTAAAATATAACGTTGATAAACGGAAACATCGGCATATGTAGATGTAGTTGTTCAAAACATGAAAATAGCATTGATAACTGGACCTATTGTTGGTTGAGATGTTGCAAAGGAAATATCTGCTGAAGCTTTTCGCCAGACACTAATCATATCAGAAACGTCTAGAAAATGATCTATAGGAAATAGTACAACTTATAAAAAGGAAATGCTTTTCCTGTAGCTAAATCAGACAGTGGAAAGGTTGAGAGGATGAAGCAACTCACTTTGAATATATTAGTACTTAAAAAAAACTTTAAAATGAGTTGTTTACTTACTTGTATGACCCACAGAACAACTGCTATAGTTATTTTAGGTCCCCTGACTAAAGAAGCACATTCCTTTCACTCCTTTGTGTTGTTGTTTCCATAAGAAACTTGGTAGTGTATTTCTGTGAATATATAACCGTGTGCTTACTGATGGAAGAATTTTCTTCTTTTTGTGATGGAAAGGAAGAGCAAGAAAAGCTTGATACTGACAGTGTTTCAAAATCCCTATAGTAGTGTTTACAACTGATGGAACTGACTTTGTTAAAATACATATATTTAAAATTAGTTAAAGACATAGAACCAAGTAGATTATATACACTCACTGACATGGTATAATTTGTTTGTAAAGAGTAATAACGATTTTATAAATTTCTTCATTTTTTTCTATCCATTATTATACTGAAATATTTTGATATATTTACTGACAACATCAGTTTGTTGGTTGATATTATACATATTTAGTAACACACTCTTCCATACATTTACTGAACCAATATTTTCTTTTCTTTACATTATTATTGCTTTGTATTTATTTACACCATTACAGTTTATTTACTGTCATTGTTAGCATGTTATATTTATAACAAGAATTTTGTTGCACATGAGTCATAAAGTACTATAGTGATTTTGATTGTATTTTAAAATGATGAAGTGTTTTACTCTCCTAGGCTAAAGACAAGCATGGAATCAGTGCTTTATTAGCAGCCATATGGGAAGGCCACACCTCATGTGTAAAGCTCATGTTAGAAAAGGTTTGCAGTTAGTTTACTTTACGTTGTAGTATTATATTGCTTGTTTTTAATAGTCAAAAACATTTATACGATTGTAATTTTTTTTGTCTCTGAAATGTATCATGATTTTTTTTTCATTAAGTTCACACTTATACAGAAGTATAACCAGGTGATGGTTAGATACTTTTCTAAGGAAAATGTTGGATAAATTGTTGGGTTAAGTGTTCTTTATACATTTATGTTTTAATTAGATTTACATAAAAATACACCACATCATTGGTATACATTAGCCTGTGGTGAAAACTCTGTGGAAAGCCAATGGGATAATTTATTCTACATTTCTAAAGACTGTTTTTTTATCAATTCTATCAGGATGATTGATTGGGTAACTTATTTATTTGAAACACTTTGTAATTACAAAAATGTGAACTTAAATGTGTGTAACTGTAGACAAATTTTTATTTACAAAGAAAAAAATATGTAATAATACTTTGAAACTGGCAGAATTTAATGGACCACTTTGATAATTATCTGTATAAGTAATTATATGGTTCTTGGTTTATCACTGATCAGCTGAATAGCAATTATTATTATTCATTTATCTTACAGGGAGCCAATAAATCTGGAACAACACCAGATGGCACTAGTTACCTTGATGCAGCTGAGAAACAAGAAATAAAGGACTTGCTCAAGTAGATCTATGAATTTTCTCCAATGGAGAAAGCTTTAGGTGCTGTGGGTGCTGGGGCTTTGTGCAACATCTCTTTCTAGATATATATTTGTTTCACGTTATATCTTTCTTCCATTATCTATTTGCACTTAGTCATAAGGCAACACACATACATTGTTATTTGTTGAGGCTAAACGTTTTCAAAAGTAAACTTCATTCACTGGAACTTATTTTGTAAAATAAAGCGAGATTTGCTTTTAGGAAGCTACTAAAATAATGAACTGACTTTATTTCTCTTATTTAAACTCATAATGGATCTTCTACAAGACTTCCCAGTTGATGGATGGTTTATAAAATTGTGCCTTATGAAATAAATAAATAAATATATATGTAAGAAAAGAAATATACACAAATTGTCTTTGTGATACTTTAACCACATGATGGGTCATTTTAATAATAAAACATATCTTTTAAAGTGTTTATGAATCGCATTGTAACATTGTTCAATGATAGGTTATAACACGCATTTGTAAATATTTACTAGAAGTCAATTTTTTGTTGGTTTTACATAAAGTTCAAAAATGACGCAGGTCTTTAAGAATTGTTTTGCATCACTTATAAAACATATTAGTTTAATGACTTTCTTTAAAGTCTAGTTTGAAATGGTTCAGCATGATGTGCACAGTACATATCCAGGGAGATTAGGGTACCTTTTTCTTGTAAAATTTATTAAACTAGAAACACCATTCTCCTTAAAGAAGTAGCCATGCTTCTTATGGCATTATAACTATGATCCTGTGAACTTCAGTTTTCATTTAAATTATATGGTTTTATTTGCTCAAGTAATGAATGTACCATTAAGTTGTGATATACACTGGACAATTTTATATTGTGGTTCAAAAATGTTTTCAGGATTCAATTACTCAGTTAAGCAGTTCTCTTCAATATATACATTTTTGGGCAAATTGTGTCCTATTTTGTTTTCTGTTATACACTTGCATTACAGCTTTTAATATCTTTAAATCTTATCACTGTTTACATGATATAGTAAGCATATAAAAAAGGCATTATGTAATTCTTTAATCAATAAAATGTGGTTTTTATCTAACAATATTTTCATTGAAAAAAAGTGTAAATTGTTATGCGTACTCAGCCACTTGCATGATCTCACTTTATTCTTAAGGTTGTAGTTGAAGTCTTTTTAAGAAAACACATTTTTATAGTTTTCTAGATGGAGGTACACAGAACCTGTTCCAAGACTTAAGTGTATCTTGTATTATTTTGATAGCTTAAGTTCAAATATTTGTCATCATATATCCAAATTAACTATTATTACTTTTCTTTCATTTAGCCCAAATACAGCTTGTACTTTTTACTCAAGTACACTGAAAAAGATGTTTTAAAGTTCAGTATAAAATTAAAAATAATATCAATGTTTAAAATGCACAATAAAATGTTATTTTGGTAGCTTTACACTACCATCAACAAGAGTCAAGTCCTAAAAGATAAGCGGGTAGTTTTATAGCAAAAAGGTTTAACTCGTAATCTATGAGGGTAGTATGAGTATTATACATAATAAGTCAATATTTCTTTCCAAATCTGCATTATCACCAGCTAACCCTTCATCTCTATTTAACAATGATGAGGAGTGGAATTCTCCGA